GTCTCCAGCCTGACCTCGTTGTACTTCAGTACTCTTGAGAGGTCCCTCACAGCTGACTTTCCCAATGCAATTCGTCTCCTGATTTCCTGGCTGCTGTTACCAAGAGTGTAGACTGTGGAGCCAAGCAAACTAAAACTGTTAACAATCTCAATCTCTTCACCATCCATACTGATGCTGCCAATTGGCCCAGTGGTGAGAATCTTTGTAACTCTACCAAAGAAAGAAGGAAAACAATACCTTATACACTAGCCACCCAAGAAAGAAATTTGTTGTTGGTTGTTGGTTGCCTTCAAGTCAAGCATAACTCATAGCAACTCTATGAACAAAAGGCCTGAAGCCCCTCTACAACTATCAACATTTATCAAAGTTCACAGTTTCCAGAGGTATGTTATTTAGGAAGTGGATGCCACTCCTGCTTCCAAACCTGTCATAGTATGTTACTATTTTTATGTGCCATTGAGTTGCCTGCGATGTTTAGCAAACCTATGTACAGCAGCTCTGAACCCTTCCCTGTCCAGAGCCAGTCTCACTAACTCCAACAAACCAATCACCATCTCCCCAGTTACTGTATCAATCCATCTCATCTGGCACCGCCCTCTCCTGCACTGTCTGTCCACCCTTCTGAGCATGATCTCCTTCTCCAAGGACCGATCTCTCCTGGCCATGTGTCTAAAGTAAGTGAGGCAGAGCTTCAAAATCTTAGCCTCCAAGTACTTAGGAATAATCTAACCAGAGCTACAAAGGATCTATATAAAGAAAACTACAAAACAGTACTATTAAAATCAACAGAGGTACTGAGTTGGGAAAGGCTGCTGTCAAAGACCTCTCTAAATTACTGCAGAGCAAAGATGTGACCTTGACAACTAAGTTGTGCCTAATTCAGGCTATGATCTTTTCAATCACTTGCTAAGCATCTGTGAGCCGGATAATGAATAAGGATGAGAGAAGCCCTGATGCTTTTGAGCTGGTGCTGGAGAAGAGTATTATGTAGCCCAGGGATTGCCAAAAGAACAAAAAGATATGCCTTGGAGAAGGTGCAGCCAGAGTGCTCCTTAGAGGCAAGGGGGATGAAGCTTTGTCCCACATACTTTGAGCATGTTGCTAGAAGGAGGTATTCCTTGGAAAACGGCATCATGCTAGACAAGGGGGAAGGAGGAGAGGAAGACCCTCAATGAGATGGACTGACACAGCAACTGCAGCAATGAGCTTGAGCATGGCAGAGACGATGATGGCACAGGACCGGACGGGATTCAGACTTGTTGTTATAAGGGTCGTTAGGAGTCGTACTCAACTCGATGGCACCTCACAACAACTACAAGAAACCTACATAAAGAGAAGGCTGTCTCATGCTCATGGATAGAAGATATAACTTTGTGAAAAAGGCAATATTACCAAAGTGACCTACAGAGAGAATGCAATTCTGATTCCAATTCCATCACTATTCCTTTAAGAGAAAAAGAAATCACCATCTTTACATGAGGAGAGACACCACGGATAAGCAAAGCTCTGCTGAAGAAGAAAAACAAAGCAGGAGGACATACAGTTCCTGAATTTAAAGCCCCACTACAGAGCCATGGTAATTGATACAGCATGGTACTGGTACAGCAATAGATGCACAGACCAAAAGAAGAGACTTGAAAACTCAGAAGGAAATCCACCCACCTACGGAGAACTGGTCTTTGACAAAGAGATGTAATTCATCAAGCTGGGGACAGATAGCCTCTTTATAGGTGCTGCTAGGGCACTCAATACTGCTTACACTGGAAAAAGGCAGCCCAAGTTCACAGCCTGTGGCACTGCCACCCCGAGACAATGTCCTAATGGCGCAGTACCAGGCTGGGGAACCCACCTCCGGTTACCCAGAGGCCCCTGGAAGGTGCTATCCCAATGACATTCAATGCTCAGCTCGTGGTTTTTCCTCAACTCTATTGAGGTTATTAATTAATGCTCATATAAGCCCAGACCATGCTGTTTCTGATTCCAATGGATACAATGCCCCTTGAATCTTTTTTTTTAAACTGTATTTCAACATAACTATGCTTGTAGAAATACACTTGTAACAGTGACTAGAATGCAATTTAACTTATCCTACAAAAATATGGAACGCTTCACAAATTTGCGTGTCCTCCTTGCGCAGAGGCCACGCTGATCTTCCGTGTTGTTCCCATTTTAGTATAATATGCTGCTGAAGCATGCACTGCCCCTGGTCTTGTAAGACCTCAGTGGATGATCCTCCCCAAAAGACTGAAATACCCCTGGAACTGATGTACTTTCTGACTTGCAAGTCTCAGAAAAATCCAGCTAAAAAATGAGTAATCAACTCATTGTTCACACAGGCAGGCCCAGAAGGCGATTCCTGGTACGTGTGACTCAATATTCGTGAATCAGTTACCTGGCTCTGCACACAAGGCCCTGGCATCGAAAGGAGGACTCAAGACTCTTATCAACTAGTCTGGCCACGAAACTGTAAGCCCAACAGGAACAGCTGTATCACTCGAGCCAAGCTCCTGTCAAGACCAGGTGAAAGCATCCATCAGTCTGGCATTAGGCAGGAGAGTCAATACTTCAAAGATGCTGGGGCTTTCTGACTTGGAAAACATCGGTCAGAGAAATTTCCTTATATGAAGGTCCTGTATTGAGGGGTACAAGATGTTGGCACCAGCAAATTTCCTGAACTTGTGTAAAGTTGTCAATTCAAAGGTCTGAGCAGACCCAACCTTTTGCAATTACAGGTCAAACAAAGAACAATTATTATGCCTTGCAGAGTATGAAATCCATGCTGGCATTAGCAAAATCAGCTACAGAGATGTGACAAACAGAAAATAAGGAGAGTCAAGGCCTGAAAAACATGTTCAGAGCAACTATGAAGAAACATCAACTGCAACCAAAACCACAGGAGGACAGTCTGTGGGTTCATTAAGCAACTCACTGTCCTGTTGTCCCAAGTACCCTACAGCCGATGGGGGAGCTATTTTAAAGAGGGGGGAAAAAAATTATGCTGGGAACTCTGGACATCAACTTGCAGAAACTGAAACAAAAATCCATGCCACACATCATATACAAAAAACCAACTCAAGATGGATAAAAGATCTAGTGATAAAACTATCAAGCTTGTAAAAAAAAAAGAAACAGGCAAACTCAAGAGCTCTCCGCTCTATAAGAGACTATCAAATAGAAGCAAAAATGCATGATCAACACAAGTAAACCAGACAAGTGACACTTTTTAAAATTTAAAGAACTTCTCCAAGAGAAAAAAAGGGAAATCTACAGACCTGACAGTCTGTGGCAAGATGTATCTGGTAAGGAACCAATCACTTACACCTATAGAAAACATCAACACTTCAAGAAAAAAAAAATAAATCCAACCACAAAAAAAGCTGAGGGCACGAACAGACACTTCTCCAAAGAAGACATTCAGACAGCTAACAAACAAGAAAGAAATGCTCAAGATCATTAGCTATCAGAGATGCAAATCAAAACAAGGTGTCATCTTACCCCAGCAATCATGCTGCTGATACACACCCTCAGAATGGAAATGACTCGTAGCTGACCCTCCAGCAGGTTTTCAGAGGCTGTATATTGCCAGAAAGAGATTGCCCATCCTTCTCTTGCAGAGTTACTGGTGGATGTGAACTGCCCGCCTCCGAGCTGGCACTGCTACTCCCTACCATTAGGCCAACAGCAACGTTCAGTAAGACACCAATAAAATAACCACAAGGGGACAAACAATGTACACAGCCACTCTTATAAGAACAGGATGGTTATGGGCTGGGTGTGGTGAGAACAGGAAAAGAATGGACAGACACCAAGCACTGCAATGGAGGAGGTAAAGGGAACATCAACTAGAAACGAATGATCAGACATTGAGTGGACTACAATTCACGGTCTGGACATAAAAGACCAAATGGTGGGGGTGGGGGAAAAGACCAAGAACATTTTCCCACGTAGACATAAACAACTGCTGAGAACTGGAGGTTTGGGAGGGGAGAAGGAGGGAGCAGAAATTAGCGGAGTGAGGACAAGGGAGGGGATAGAGAAGTTTCAACAGGAGGAGGTCAACAAAGGCATGATACAATTGTAATGAGCATTATAAACGGAAATGTATGATTGATTGAATGAATATCAATTTAAAAGAGAAAACAGCAAATGCTGGGGAGCCTGTGGAGAACCTGGATCTCTCTGCCTGCTGGGGGATGTAAAATGGTGCAACCACTAAGGAAAGCAGTTTGGTGCTTCCTTGGAAAATTGGGACTAGAATCACCATTTGATCCAGCAGCTCCCACCACTAGGTAAATATCCTAAAGAAACAAGAGAAGCCACGAGAATCCTTGTGTACGATGCAGCATCATTTACAGGACAGTGTGGTGCCTCAACACTGCACAGATGTTACAAAGGCTCCAGCTGAGACAGATGTTGGATCACAACATAAATGCTGAGAAATCTCACAAGAATCCCATCACAAGAATCGGGGAGTTTATTCAGCCTTTTCTACACTGTTGTTCCTGACACTCGAACTTGCTGACAGCGGCCGAGCAGCAACCACGTGAGACAGAAGACAGGAAAGGTCAACACGGGAGCAAATGACCCACGCTGGCACCAACTGGGACCATGCCCAGCAGCTGGTGACAGCTAGGTCCAGGCAATGCACAAACCATGGCATGTGCTTGGTTCTGAAGGTGGTCACGTGAAGAGCTTCAGTCTGCACTGCAAGGCGTAGCCTTGAGAGCATAGAGAGGACACATGGACATAGAGCAGGCCGGCATCCAGGGCCTCCAGGCAGCAGTGTGGCTGCCACATCGTTCTTGTCTAGTATGAAGATGGGCAGAGCATTTAGAGGTACAACTTTAGGATGACAAATGCCTTTTCTGAAACACACACGCTTCACAAGACTAAAACACACTGCCAAGCTGGTCCAGAACTGTCCCAGTGAGACCGTGGTGAGAAGGGAGAAATGGTCCTGGGGGCGGCCTCCAGCCAGACCCCGGCACACTGGACAGGGCTCACCGGACCAAGCTGCGCATGACACTCAGGGACGACCCCCGGTACCCTGACCCAAAGTGGTTCCAGTGGTTGAGGTAGTGGAACAGCTGGTAGAGCTGCAGCCGCCTGTCAAAGCCGGGGGCCTTGGGGATCTTGCTGTGGTAAGCCGAATAAAAGGCCTTACTGAAGCCCCCAAACATGCCAGCAATCGCCAGCTCGTACTCTGAGTGGCCATAAAAAGATGCTGGGTCAAAAATGATGGGGCCCGAGGCATCTTGGGCCACATTTCCCCCCCAGAGGTCACCATGGAGCAGGGCAGGGATGACCTCCAGGTCTCGGAACAGGTCCGGGATCTTCAGCTGAAAAGAAGGGAGCATCACGTGAGAGGCTCTAACAGAGGACTCACTGCTCATGAGCAGCAGTAACCAGGGAAGACTGAGGGTGCTTACTGACTGTAAGGAGAGGAAGTGTGCTCACACCTCCTCTCACATGGGGACGGGCACTAGTCTGCAGCTGGCCATGTCCAGCCACTTCTCTCACATGGAGACAGGCGCTGGCCTGCAGCTGGCCATGCCCACATCCTCTCCCCTCGTATGGGTGCAGGCACTCACTTGCAGGGCAGCCCAGAGCTCTCGGGCCTCACGGTCCCCCGACTCCCGCTCCACCATGTCCATCTGGGGTTGGATACGCTGCTGAGTGAAGAATTCTACCCAGTCTTTCTGCCAGTCATTCACCTACGGGGGAGCAAGGGGACACGAATTCACAGAGAGCAAGGACAAAGGCCCTTCCCAGGTACCTCTCTGCCGTGGGCACCAGTCACGCATGGCAGGAGGTTCTGCTAGCTGTTCATCAGTAACTCTATGGACCAGGACACCCCAAAAGCCTGGCTGTCCACAGACAAGGGACCAATCATCTGTCAGTGATTCTGCAGACAGGATAACTGCAAGAGGTCCTTCTCCACCTATAAGTCCATAGACAGGACATCCACGTGACTGGCTGCTGTCTGTCCAAAAAGTCCATAGAAAGAACATCCCACGGGCAAAATAGTGCATACAATTGTCAGTCAGTAATTCCACAGGACCCCTTGGGAGTGACTGTCCATAGACAGGGACCTCAAGGACCCCATGTGCATCGGTAATTCCACGGACAGGGACCACCAGGACCCCACGTACACTGGGAATTCCACGGACAGGGGCCAGCAGGATCCCATGTGCATCAAGAATTTCCATTTTCCCACTGAGCTTTGGAAATAACCATAGCAGTTGTTAGAAAAACATCATGTTTTCCTGAAACGTGAAGGGCAGCCTCTTGCTCTGATTAACAGGTGACTGCTCAGCACCCTCTCAGACCCTGACCCTCCAGCTGCAGTCAAAGCAGGGAGCTTGGAACCCCTAAGGAATGACAGCAGATGGTCACAGCCTAGGCAAGCTGGGCCATGGAGACATCTATGCCCGGGGTTTGTAGTGTTGGGAGAGGAGAAGTTCTAGTCATCCAGCTTCCGCAGGCAGGGCTGTGTGCTGGTCCACCCTGTCTGACCTCCTCCTATGACAGTGCAGAACAGGAGTCTCCTTGGCCCAGCACTCACCACCAGCAAGCCCATGGAGTTTTCTAGACAGTCTGGACCCCCTCTCACAACACTACACAGCATCAGAGTGCAGAAGGGCTGCTCCTGTGCTCCGCCTCCACCAGGTGCCAGGCCAAACCAGAAGTTCTAGAGGGTGAATGGACGGGGCAGGACACTGCTCTTCTCACTGTGCAAACTCTCACCGGGCTTATGCTTTAAATACATGATCTTTTCAACTCCCACTCCTTCTTTACTATACTGTGCAAAGAAAAGGGATGTGCTTCATCCCCCCCTAAGTAGACTGGGGCCACTTACCTGGGGGAGATAACCACAGCAGGTCACCACATCAAACCCAAACTGCTCCACGAAAACCCTGTCTGCCTGGCCACCACCTCTTCCTGCAAGCAGAAGACCAGAGTTGACAAGCCCCATGCCCCAATAGCCTCTGTTCCCCATTTTCTTGTTTCCATACACATGCGGAAGACGGAATCCTGAGGCCTGGCCATTCTCTCTCCCTACAAGGCTGTGCAGTGCTCAGCCTCTCAGGTTTCCAAAGACAAGGGCCTTGGTCACTCGCAGAGCTTTGTCTCTACTCACAAGTCCTCCCAGCTGCCTGCTCGTCCACGCAGGAGGGTCTCCATATTGAGGCCTAGCCTTGGGGACCCTCTGCACCACTGTCCTGTGCACACACAAAGGTCCTGCCCTTACCATCCCTGACACCAAGAACAGAGGCTGCCAGCTAACTGACATCAGAGGACACTACCTGCTCCTGGCAAGGATTCTAGAGGTGATGAGAACAATGGTACCAGAAGATGGAATTGTTCAAGGAGGCACCCACCCCAAACCTGTCAGAGGCCAGTTCAACACCAGCCAGTTAGGGAGGCTAAGTGCGGCACCAGTGCACATGGCACCCCCTCTGCAGCTCCACTAAAACAAAGTAAATCCCCGTGGACTCAGGTCCATACAGGGGAAGAACAGGCCAAGAGGGCAGGTAGCAGCCTGGCTGTCCCCTGGTGTGCTGGCTACAGCTACTCGCATTGTCCTCAGTCACGGCCTGCTGCTGACACTGTCACTTAGGCCGCCTGACAGCCCTTCAGATACAAAAGGGACACAGGGTCAGACTCCACACAGCACAGGATGGAGCCCAGCAAGTACTCCTCTCATGGTAGACATCTGAGGTCTGAGCCCACACCTCACTGTCACTCGCCTTCTTACTAGCCTGCAGGAAATTGATGTTTTGATTTTGGGGAGCTGCAGAGCATGGTGTGCTAGTTTACCCACTGTACCAACAGCCATTCGTCTCATAGCTATACCTCTCTTCCTGATTTAGCCCTGTATCTCCTGAGCTCTACAACCTGATATGCCTCCACCCTATGCACCACTCACCTCCTCATCACCTCCCGCACTGTACCTGACTTCCATACCCTTGGTGCCCCTCCTCTGGACCACCTCTCTTGTCCTCCTTACCACAAGCAGTGTCCCCTCATCCTGGAGCATTTCTGCCCTCCCCATCACCCCCTGAACCCCACTTCCATACCCACGGTGCTCCCCTCCTTCCGATGTGCCTCTCCTAGCCTCTGGTTGTCGAGGTGCAGATCAGCCAGCTGGGCTCCAAGCGTGGCAGCATGACTGTGAAATCAAAGGTAGCTGGTTTCCCACCACATTGATGGGCTGGCCAGTAGAGGACATGGTTGTGCCCACTGTCAGCTGGAAGCCCAGGAGGCAGATTACATGTTCTGAGGACTCAAGAGTCCACTCAGGGGCACAGGAGGGGATATGAAGGCTGCCACACACACTGGTCCCCCACCTCATTCCAGCTCAGTCTTCATCCACATCTCCCCAGTCCCTTTGCCAGCCTCAGCACAAACCCATTCTGTGCAACCAGACTTTGTACGCCCCTCAAGTCACATCAGACTTGCTCTGGAGGTCTAATGGCAAGGAAGCCAGACGCACCTGCTCAGGTAGTGCATGTCCAGGTGCTCCATCACCAGCACACTCCCACCACCTGGGCCATCCAGGACTGCAAGGGGCTTTGGCACCTTGACTGTGCCTGTGTGCAGGATAGCCTTAAGACTCGCCATCTCGCCTTCAAACATCCGCCGGGCCTGTTGGGAGAGGAAGCAGGATGGGGACACTTCCTAGAAGTCCCGGGCCAAGGACACCACAGACAGCAACACGCAGTAGAGCACACACGGGCAGCAGTGGACACTGTCCAGAGCTGGGCTGGATTTACCCACCATCACTGACTCTTAATGACTCCTTAGGGAAGACAGACTAGCAACAAGCCAAGCTGGACAATGTACATGGTCACCTGTCAACCTGAGCCACCCTCAACTACAACCCCTACCCACAGGACACAGGGACACCACCTCTTCTGTGTGGGAGGAACCAGGACATTTAAGAATGTACCACATTCTACATCCCCGCCATTGGAAACCACAAACTGCTGCCAGTCCAAAGGACAGTGTTGCCATCCCTTACCTGCTCGGCTCATCCTCACCTTGACTCCACAGGGATCCCCTCAAAAGGTAGCCCCTTTCACCACCTCCTCCCCCCATCTGGGGCCACTATCCCAGCCCCACCCTACATACAGCGCACAGCAATCACACACTCTCCATGCTTCTGTCTTTCAGATGCCTCTAACCTTGAAGCATCCTTCCAGTGTCACATTAGGGTACAATGACACTGTCCTTAGGCTAGGGTGCCCAGATACAGTCCCCAAGTCAGTGCCTTCATAGTAGCCTTCTAGACATCAATTTAAATATTTGAGATTCTCAGAGAGACCCTATCCCAGACTAGGCAACACTCTTTTCAAATATGCTTTTTTTTTATTTTTGTGTGAGTGTACCGTCAAATCAGATCTGACTGGTACAGGAGGAGATTGTCCCTCCTTTTCCCGGCAGAGCATCTGGTGGATTCGAACCGTGAGCCACTGGGATTGTAGTTGCAGCTCCTTGCCACTAGGCCACCAGAGCTCCCCTTCAAATATGCTTTTTTAAAACTAAAGTTTTACTTAAGTAACCACAGAAAAGCATGCCACTCCTAAATGTCTTACTCACTGCACCACCACTGAGGCAGGGACTGGAATCACCCATCACAAACAACAGCTTCGTGGCCTCATCAGGGTGGGCTTGCCCAAGTGGGTGTATGGACAGTATCAGCTTGCCCTCCGTGGCAGAAGGCATCCACTCACTCTACTGCAGGGACACTTGCGTCCCTATCAAAGGCAGTGCTGCTGTGAACATTCTCTTCGGTTCTTACTAACTGGACCTCAGTTTCTTCATCTATAACATGGGGTTAATTGCAATACTATTTTATGGTTTTGCTGCCATAATTAGTGAACAGCTCACACAGAGCATTCTGAACACTGCGGAGACATTATTCACCACCTGAGAGAGTCAGCCACCGAGTCATTCACTTGGTCTCTTCAGATACCAAGTGTTCTCCGTGGAAGGAGAGGGAAACAGAGCCCTGGTCATACAACGTGCTGGAGCAGCAGCTGTGGAGAGCAAACGTAGAGATGTGTGACCCAGCCAGAAACCAGGTCCCTTACAGAAATGCTGACTGTTGTATGGTTCAGTAGCTCTAACTGCAGCCTCAGATGCTGCTATGCTGAGTGGAAGCCGGTGAGGTAAGTGCTGTGAGGATACAGAGACCTAGACCCACTACTGTCAAGTTGGTCTCCACGCACAGCTTCACAGGAGACTGCCCACCTTCCTCTGGCAGTGCAGCTGGTGGATGTGGACCCCTGACCTTCCAATTAGGAAACCAGCACGCTATGCACCATGCTGCCCGGGCCCCCCAGAGATACGCAGACACCAACCACAAACAGGAGGAGCCCAATCAGAGAGCAGTGGACAGGTGAGCAAAGGACAGATAAGGAGAAGCGAGGGGGAAAGGGGAAAGCAGCTGGGACCCAGTATGCAAGATGTTTTCCCCTCCAGAGAGACACAAAAGGCCTTTTCAGTATTATCAGCAAATGTTTAGCCTGTGGCCATGGCATTCAAATAACTCCCACTGCACATTCCAGAGCTGAAAAGAGACAGAACATGACTGGAACTACCAAGTAAAGGAAACTGAGAGACTAGCAAAAATAACACAAGCTTTAATTGGGGAAAGAGAGTAATGAGAGAGCAAACAATGGCAAACGGGGAATGCCAGTAAGCGGTTCCAGGTGTTTCTCCCCAAAATCTGCACAGGTGTGAGGGTCACTGATGGCAGGAAAGGTGAACGAAGACAGGTCTGGGGTGGACAGCAAGGGGACACGTTGCAGGGAGAAAATGTGGGGTGAGTCCCTTTTAGGGGCAGCATGACCACAGCTAACAGCAGATCCACAGAGAAGGGCAAACTCAGACGGCCACGTCCAGTAGAGGGCCGGCTGTTAAGAAGGACACAGCCAGAACTGCCCGCACAAAGTGGTGCTGGGGCCTGCTGGACCTCCTGGTCAGGGGTCCTCCAGCTGAGTCCCCTGGCCACTGCTTCCGCTGGGAGGTTGTCCACAGGGACATGCACCCAGACTGCAGCCGGGGCCGCGACTCTAACCCCACCTCCAACTGACCACCAAGCACCGACTCTGACCCTGACTGTTCACCACCAACCCAGACTCTAACTCCGACCCTCAAAGCTAGGACCCAACCTCGATGACCCTCCTGGACCCCCGTCGCCAAACCAAAGCCCCTGACCCCAAAACCCAGCTCTGATCTTATTCCCAGATCCACGTCCAACGCCCCCCCCTGAGGAACCCTCGGACCATGACACCAAATTCTGATCCCAACTCCAGACATAAGGCCCCCCCAGGCCCCCCAACTCTGACCCGCTCTCAGCCCACGGTCTCGGCCTCGAGACCCTCCTCCCGACCCCGGGACCGGGGCCCGCCTCCCTCCCGCGGCGCGTGCCCGGCGGGCCTGACCTCCGCCTTGGAGTTCACTTTCACAAACACCCGTCCTTTTTCGGTGTCGTAACTCTGACCCTGGCTAATGCACCCGCCCCCCGAGTGGCCCGTAGCCTTCACAGACACGCAGCCCAGCTCGCGCCTCAGAAGAGCTTCCATGTTTCTACAAACAGCCCAGAGTGAAGCAGAGGAGGTGACGCCCGCGACGGCGGCTGAGCTGGGCATGCGCAGGAGTAGAACCCGGATTGGGTAAGGGAGAGGGGCTGTCGGCGAGGGGGCGGGATCATGCGCTGAGGATGCCGAGGGATTGGGTGAAAAGCGGAATACGGCCCTATGGGAGGTTTGTCGTGAAATAAGAGGGGCGGGCGCGGGACAGGTGGCGAAAGAGAGCCCTGAGATTGGATAAAGTAGGGAACAACGTCACGCGAGGGCTGGACCAAATATTGCTCCCCAGAGACCACCCGCGGGCGCTCCCCACGCTGTTGCAGCGCTTTAACTTAGAGTACTGCCTGCTCACGGATGGTATTCGGCCCTGGCAGTTCAAAGCCAAAGACGTTTACCCCACCTACGGCCCTGGCCATCTGCCCTCGCTCCTGGCCCCGCCCCCGGGCACACCGCTCTGACCACACCCGTCCCGCCTCTCTGGCCTAGCTCCGCCCCATGCCTGTCACCCTAGGTTTCGCTCCCCTCTGTCTAACACCTGCCCTGTCCGACACCTCACCTTGGCCCGCCCCTCGCTCACAGCCACACTGCTCTGTCCCGGCCCGATCGCTACCCGGACCATGCCTTCCTCCCTTCCTCTTTGTGGCGAGGCAATGTGGCTGCAGCCCGTCTGCTTCTAGGACCTCCCGAGGCTTCTGTGACGGTACCCACTAAACTGAAACCCCTATGGAGGGGAAGTCTTCAGTTAATGCAATTATCCCGCCAGCGTGTTGCCCCTAGAAAGAGTCCTTACGGATGGTTTTAAAGAAGACCGTGGAATCAATGAACACTAACCACTAGAATGGAGTATTGCTCTGTTGCAGCCGCTGATCTTTCGGTAGCAGCCTGACATGTGACACACTAAAGGGATCCCCAAATCTTCCCCATGGGATTTCCAGGGCTGGAAGCAAGCGCTGGAGCATGCACTTCACTGACCTGCTGATTAATGGAACACCGGGCCCCTCTGTCCATGTTATGTGCCTTCAAGTCCGAACTGGCCCATAGCTGATCCTCTGGGGAGATTTCAGAGGATGTAAATAGCACGGGAGGAGACTGCCCATCTTTCTCGTGAGGTGAAGCTGGTAGATTCGAACCTTATGTCTTTGTGTTGGCAACAAAACTCTCTACCCACTAGTCACTTGAGCCTTAATCACTATGTTGTTGTTGTTAAGTGCAGTGAATCATAGACTACTCATAGTGACCCTATGAAGGAAAGACCTGAACACTTGTATAGCTTGCATCATGTTTCCAAATTCATAGACTTTCCAGAGGCAAGCTATTTCAGAAGTGAGTGCCACTCCTGCTTCCGAGCTTATTTTATTCAGGGAACGCCACTAAACACTATCCACAATGGGTAACCATTATCTCATTGGACACGTAAGTGTCACAGTGTTCAGCATCACAGCAACCACGAGTTACCTCTGTACAGCAAGAGACAAACCAGTGCTATACCACTGAGAAGAATGTTTGACCAAAACCAATTAAAACCAGGCCTGAGGGCCGCAGATTAAAATCACCCACCTTTGGCTTGGTAGCATCACTTTCTGTTCACTAGGCCAACTGAGATCTCTTTATGTTGTGGTTCTTTTTTTAAAAAAATTTTTTTAATTATTTGTGTGTACCCTCAAATCAGATCTAACTGGTACAGGAATCAATTGCCCTCCTTCTCCAGCAGAGCATCTGGCAGATTTGAACCATGTACCTCTGAGATTGCAGTGCAGTTTCCTGCCACTAGGCCACCAGAGCTCCCTATGTTGTTGTTCTTAAGTGCCGTCGAGTTATAGAGACTCATAGCATCCCTATGAACAAAAGACCTGAACATTTGTATAACTTTCATTGTTTCTCCAAGTTCAAAGGTTTTCTTCTTCTATCATCCTTAGTCATTATCCAGCTCTCTGATGCATAGCAAGTGATTGTGAAGACCATAGTTTGGGTCAAGTGCACCTTAGTCTTTAGACTGATTTCGTTGCTTCTCAGTACTCTGGAGAGGTCCCTGACAGCAGATTTACCTAATTCAATTCACCTTTTGATTCCTGACCGCTGGTGCAAAGAGTGGTGATTGTGGAACCAAGAAACTGTTAACAACCTCAATCTCTTCTCCACCCATCAAGGTGCTGCCAATTGGCCCACTGGTGGGAATCTTGGTTTTCTTGATGTTGAGCTTCAATCCATACTGAAGACTACAGTACTTGACCTTCTGCAAGCACTTCAGGTTTGCTTCAGTTTCAGCAAGCAAGGTTGTGTCATCTGCACAGCATAGGTTGGTGATAAGTCTTCCTCCAATCCTTATACCACATTTCTCCTCATAGAGCCCCACCTCCTGAATGATCTGTTCTGCATATAGATTGAAAAGATGGAGGTAAGGACACATCCCTGACGCGCTCCTTTCCTGATTTTGAGCCATGCAGTGTTTCCCTGGTCTGTTCCGAGGGCTGCTTCCTGGTCCAAGTATAGACTTTGCACAAGTACAATCAGGTGTTCTGGGATTCCCGTTTTCCTCAAAGTTAACCACAATTTGTTGTGGTCCACACAGTCAAATGTCTTTGCGTAGTCAATGAAACACAGTTAGACATTCCTCTGGTATTCTGCTTTCTGCCAAGATCTGTCTGACATTGGCAGTAATGTCTCTAGTGCCATGGGTTCTTCTAAACCCACCTTGTATTTTTGGTAGTTCTCTGTCAATGTACTGTTCTGGTCATTTCTGGATAATCTTCAGCATGGTTTTGCTTACATGTGATATGAGTAATATTGTATGGTAATTTCCATACTCTGTCAGGTCACCTTTTTTTAATGTGAATAAATATGGACCTCTTAACATTCTCAGTGTTAGCCACAATTTATTGTGATTCACATTGTCAAATGCTTTTGCATAGTCAATTCAACACAGATAGACATTCTGCTGGTATTCTCTGCTTTCAAGCAAGATCCATCTGACATGAAGAATGCTACTCTCAGTGCCACAGTATCTTCCAAAATCTAGTTTGAATTTTGAGCAAAGGACAAATAAGTTGTGGAATGACATCAGGGATATCATTCAGGAAAGAAGTACAAAGATCATTACAAAGACGGGAGAAAGAAAAGGCTAAAGTGAGTGTCAGAGGAGGCTCTGAAAATTGTACTAGAATGCCAAGGAGCCAAAACAAAGGGTAGAAATGGCAAAGGAAAAAAAAAAGAAGAAGAGCAGAAGATTTCAAAATGTACCCTGAGAAAACAAAGCAAAATATTATCATGAAATATACAAAGAAATTGAGTCAGGGAAAAAAGTTAGGGGGACAAATTCACTGGCATCTCTCAAGCTGAAAGAACTGAAAAGTAAATTCAAGCCTTGAGTTACTATTCTGAAGGATGCTACAGGTAAAATCTTGAATTATCCAGAAAGCATCAAAGGAAGAGGGAAGGAATTCAGAGTCATTGTATCAAAAAGAATGATACAGTGGGCTGGCAGAATCATTTAAGGAAGTAAAATATGATCAAGAAACAATGGTAATAAAGGAAGATTTCAAGCTGCACTGAAAGCATTCACAAAAAACAAGACCCCCCCCAAAAAAAATAATAAGACCCTAAAATGGATGTAATACCAATTGACATGCTTCAACAGAGATGGAGCCCTGGACATGCTTATCAGGCTGTCCCAAGAAAACTGGAAAAATATTATCTGGTCAATGGACTAGAAGAGATCCATGTTGGTTCCCGTTTCCAAGAAAGGTGATCCAACAGAACATGGAAATTATCGAGCATTATCATTAATATCACATGCAAGCAAAATCTTGCTGAAGATTGTTCAAAATGGCTAGAACAAACACCGACAAGAACTTCCGAAATGGAAGCTGGATTTAGAGGAAGACAAAGAGAATCTTTAAATATTCTAAAGATCACCTTGAGTTTTGGTGGCTTTGTGGTAAGTAGCTGTGCTGCCAAGGCAAAATACACAAGCTTCTAATCCAACAGCTGGCCCATGAGGGAAAGATGAACGCTCTCCTCCCATGCATCTCACTGCCTCTGAAGACCTACTGGAGGATCAGCTCTGGGTCATTTCTAACTCAAAGGTACGTAACAAGGAAAAGAGGCATGTCAAAACTCAGTTCCCCAAACTAAATTAATAAAAAAAATGCTTTCCTAGACAAAAAGAAAAAAAAACCAAACAAACTCAGTACCCAATAGTCAGAACCGACCCTACAGCCAAATCTCAGGTGGCTGTAAATCACATGGGAGGAGATTGCCCATTTTTCTCCCACAGAGCTGCGAGTTGAATCCAGTGGCTACAAAGGGTTCAGCACAATTCCTGAGGACAAGGACTTCCAAAAGAATAAACAAATGTATCTTGGAGAAGGTTCGGGCAGAGTGCTCTGTAGAAGGAAGGGTGATGAAACTTCATTTCACCTACTTGGAGCATGTTGCTAGGAAAGGGTTGCCAGTCACTGGACAAGGATATTATCTATGCTTGGTAGGGTGGAGGGTGAAGAAAGAGAGAAAGACTCTCAACTAGATGGATTGACAGAGTTGCTAGAACAAGGGGCTTGAGTATAGCAGGAAGGATGAGAATGGTGCCCGATAGAGCAGGGTTCAGGTCTGCTGTTCACAGGGTCACAACGAGTCATGGTTGGCTCAGCGGCACCTCACAACCAGAGGCAGAACAAGAGAATCACGTCTGTCAATGACACAAGACATACACTCCTGTTTTTGTCTGTGTCTCTGACCTCATGGACATTTGGACTCTCCCATAAACACAAAAGTTTCTATCAGAGTTATGCCAAACTAACTAATTGTTTAGAAAGTGTTTTAAACAGTGAACCTAATTAAGTGGTGGTGGTTGTTGTTAGGTGTTGTTGAGTCAAGTACAACCCATAGCGACTCTATGAACAATAGATCTGAACATTTTCCTATCCTGTGCCACCTTCATCATCTCAGACATACTTCAGCCTATTGCTGCACTCTGTCAGTCTATCTGGCCAAGGGTC